CTCCTTTTTTCAATGCCTTCATATCTTTCAATGGTCACTGAATGAATGCTCAGTGCTACCTTTTTTATATATATAGTCTTTCTGGACTATTGATTCCTTTACTGTGGATAGTCAATCCTAAAAGGCAAAAGCTATCTGCCATTTCTGTATCTTCATTGCCAATACTAAGACCATTACTCTACCAGTTGTCATTACTTTAGTTTTCTTTACATTTAAGCTTATTTCTACTATTTAATGTACTCCATTTTCATTACTAGAGCTCAAAAACCATTTGCATTTTCAGTTACCAGAGTATAGTCGGGAGGGTAATGTAATTTACTGAAGTTTTTTCCTCAATTTGTAGACCATGATCTTCTTCCAATCTTTGTTGTTGTTGTTGTTAATTGCGAAGTTGTGTCCGACCCATCACGACCCCATGGACAACGTTCCTCCAGGTCTTCCTGTCCTCTACCATCTTCTGGAGTCCATTTAAGTTCACACCTACTGCTTCAGTGACTCCATCCAGCCATCTCATTCTCTGTCGTCCCCTTCTTCTATTGCCCTCAATCTTTCCCAGCATTAGGCCCTTCTCCAGTGAGTCCTTCCTTCTCATTAGGTGGCCAAAGTATTTGAGTTTCAACTTCAGGATCTGGCCTTCTAAAGAGCAGTCGGGGTTGATCTCTTCTAGGACTGACCGGTTTGAACGCCTTGCAGTCCAAGGGACTCGCAGGAGTCTTCTCCAGCACCATAGTTCAAAGGCCTCAATTCTTTGGCGCTCAGCCTTTCTTATGGTCCAACTTTCACAGCCATACATTGCAACTGGGAAAACCATGTTGCAATGTAGTCTTCTTTAATATATTCAGCAGACTTAGACAGAATAAGTAAGGAGAGCTTATAAAACATTTTCTCACTCCTTTGCCAATGTTAAGCCTGTCTGTTTCTCCAAGATTTGCCTGGATTGTTGTTTCCTATCCTATGGATGAGTTTTGCATGAGGACAATGAAATGTTCTAGGAACATTCCACAGCTTGACATGGTTGACATAGTCAACATAATCAAAGGCCTTTCTGTAATCAGTGAAGCACATATCTTTTGGTATTCTTTGTCTTCCTCAGTTACCTCGTGTACATGAACAATAATGTCTTTTGTTTCCTGGTATTTTCTAAAACCAGCTTGAATATCTGACATCTCTTTCCTTGTAGAACTCTAATTGATGCTGTACAATCTTTACCATCACATCTGCTAGTATGTAAACTTAGGGATATTGTATGGTAGTTTGCATATTCTACTAAGCTCCCTTTTTTAATATTGGAAAGTAGACGGATCTTTTCCAATCTGTTGTCCATTATATTATTCTTTAGATTTGCTAACACAGTTTGATTAGAATCTTTACCAATTACTTACCATATTTCTATAGATATTGCAGCAATTGCCATAGCCTTTCAACTTGGAAATGAAATGACCAGAGTGCTGATCTAATTTCATCTTCTAACATTTGTGGTTCTTTTAAATATAAAATATCATCTAAGGTATCTTGGATTTTGACATCTCTGTTATACAGAATTTCAATATGCTCCTTCCATCTTAGTTTGATCTTCTTTGAGTCCTTTTGAGTCCTGGCTGCCAGATCAAGGAAACTACAGACCAATCAGCCTCACATCAATACTTGGGAAGATCCTGGAAAAGATAATCAAGCAACAGATCTGCGAACACCTAGAAGCAAGCAAAGTTATAACTAGAAGTCAACATGGGTTTGTCAAAAACAGATCATGCCAAACAAATCTTATTTTATTCCTTGACAGTAATTATATTACTGGACCAGGGAATGCAGTGGACATAGTATACTTGGATTTCAGTAAGGCATTTGACAAAGTAGATCGCAGCCTACTTCTTGGCAAGCTAAAAAAAAATGTGGGATAGACAGCATCACCACCAAATGGATTTGTAACTGGCTGACAAACCACACTCAACATATAGTCCTTAATGGAACTACATCTACAAGGAGGGAAGTAAGTGGTAGGGTACCCCAAGGTTCCGTTTTAGGCCCAGTACTCTTCAACTTCTTCATAAATTATTTAGGTGATGAAATAGAAGGGGTACTCATCAAATTTGCAGACGAAACTAACCAACATCCCAGAAAACAGGCTCAAGATCCAGATGGATCTCAACAAACTTGAATACTGAAGAATCCTATTATTCATGTTTTAGCCTCCAGACCCCTAATAATCTTTGTTGCTCTTTTTTGCACTCTTTCCAGAGTCTTTATATCATTTATGGAATACTGCATCCAGTTTTGGTCAGCATATTATAAGCGTGATCTTACTATGGCTTTATAAAACAGTGCTGTCACATGATCTTGATTCTGGAACTGGGTTTGTCTAGTCTAGTGAAAAGAAGGACTGGGGGTGACATGATAGTAGTGTTCCAATAGTCGAGGCATTGCCACAAAGAAGAGGGAGTCAACCTATTTTCCAAAGTACCAGAAGGCAAGGCAAGAAACAATGAATGAAAACTGATCAAGGAGAGAAGTAACCTATAACTAAGGAGAAATTTCCTAACAGTGAGAACAGTTAACCAGTGGAATAGCTTGCTTCAGAAGTTGTGGGTGCTCCAATCATGGAGGCTTTTTAAGAAGACATTGGACAGCCACTTGTCTGGAATGGTATAGGACAGTGGTGGCGAACCTATGGCACGTGTGCCAGAGGCGGCACTCAGAGCCCTCTCTGTGGGCACGCATACCATGCCCCAGAGATGGCAACCGTCCCTCTTCAACCAATTGCCCACTAACTTGCTGAGGTTCCACATGGCCAGATGCATCCCAACACAGCTGGTTTCCCTCCCCCCGATCCCATCCCTCCTAGCCTCGCATGCTCTCCTTTTTCCGGGCACGACCCACTGCATTGCCTCCTCAGGTGTCAGCCGGCTGTCCAGCTCAGAAGTGGCTTCTCGGAGCCCCAGAGTGTGCCGGTCGAGGGGCCGGCAGGCTGTGGCTGCTGACGGACACTGTCACCCCTCATTTGCTCGCTGGCCTGTGTGCAGGGGCCAATGGTGTCAGGTATCTGCCGCCCTGGCCCCTGCCTCGCCTTGCCCTGCGACAATGGCACCCCTGCCCTGCCTCACCTTGCCTCGCCTCACTCCGCAGGATGAGCCTCCTACCCACCGCCCCACCTGCCAGAGATGCCCCGGATCTCCCCCAACCCTGCCCGGCCCTCACAGGTGTCCCTCCCCACAAGCAACATTAAGGTGACCATGCCACCCAGTGGGTTACACCCACCTGGCACCCGGCAATAAATAAGTGGGTTTTGGGTTGCAGTTTGGGCACTCAGTCTCTAAAAGGTTCGCCATCACTGGTATAGGATCTCCTGCTTGAGCAGGGAGTTGCACCAGAAGACCTCCAAGGTCCCTTCCAACTTTGTTATTCTAAATGCCCTAGTTAGTTTATTATCCACTGACATTCTTTAGCATGCCAGTTTGAGTTTGATAATCTTTTGGACGTCTTTTCTTGTTTTCTCCATTTCCATCTTCAGGGTCTTTACAGAAGTCATTACAATACTGCTTGTTTCTTCCAAAAGCTTTCTAAAAGTCTTTCCTTCTTGAGATGATTTGTCTTTCTTGGCTGCAGCCTCACTTCTTGGCATTTTCCATCATTTGTTCTAACCTCGGTTTTTTTTGGTTTTTCTGTTTCCTGGTCTTTGGCAGTTACTTTCACATTTATCCTTAACAACTCCAATTCCACAGTTCCCCCGATTCCCTATTTAAAAAAAGGTTAAGGACTTCAAAGTGATTTCTAATGTTCTTCTTGAAAATGGTGGGTTAATACAATATCGGCGAAACTGGTTTGCTTTGTTCTTCCACTTTAACTTGACCTGGAACTTGCAGCTGATATATCCCAGCACCTCTAATCATGTCTTTGCTATTATAACTGGATTCTTCCATCTCTTTGTCCCAATAATACAGTCAATTTTATTTCTATGTACTCCATCTGGTGATGTCCATGTCCATAGGTACAGGTTTGGGTGCTTGAAAAGTGTTAGCAATGAAGAAATCATCAGACTGTTAAAAATGCACAATTTCCAACTTTAGCACTCTCAAATCAGGTACTCTAGCACTTACACATACATTCCCTACAAATTCAGTTCTTTACAAGGATCAGTGAAGAGGTTTTTCTCTTCCTCCACATATTGGTGCTACGTAGGACTGCATAGATGGCTCTGGATTTTACCTCATATTGTAATGTGAGGATTGGTAAAACTTGTAAAACTATAGAACAAGGGTATTGTAAGCCCTATAGGATAGACTACATTGAGAAACCAATGCTGTATAATTTAAAAAAAAAACACTTTTATTAGAACAACTGTAGTGACCAAATCTTGCCAATCTGAATATGCTTCCCTTATTTTGTATCTGTGTGAATTAAGCAAGGGGTCTGTCTGAAGTGTTTTCTCAAATCAGTTTCTTAGAATAGGCTTTAAGCTGACCATTGACTTGTAAAAGATGTCTCCATCAGGGCCATCCTCTACGCAGTGTTTCCCAAACTTGACAGTTTTAAGGCATGAGGACTTCAACTCCCAGAATTCCACAGCCAGCGTTGCTGGCTGTGGAATTCTGGGAGTTGAAGTCCTCATGCCTTAAAATTGTCAAGTTTGGGAAACACTGCTCTACCGATATTAACTCAGTCCAGATCCTATCTGTGCATCATTAACCATAAATATAATATAATCCAGCTCTAACATTTCTAATTCCCCAAGAACTATTATTAGAGATCAATCTGCAATAAACTGTTCTCCCATTTATTAACACAAGTAAGGATGATTTTTTCCATTTTTTTTTAGTCCTAAAGGTTTCCCATCTTTGCTGTAAGATATATTCCCAAGATAATTTAAGGACATAATTTCAGGGAGAAAAAAACACTTTTATATCATTTAACCATTCTACTTGGATGAATAGAACAAAATGAGTAATTAAGTTACTTGCTAATCAATATTAATTGCACTTGTAATCACTTCTTGAATCACACTTGAAAAAATGAGTTAAATAACTTTATTATTGTAAAAAAAAAATGGCAGCCCAAAGGGAAGTAAGGGAGTTTAAAGGGTGGGGTGATTGGGTAAGAAATCTCTGCTGTCCTCTTAAACACAATAAAAATCCATTAATAAATGAAACACAGCATCTCTCTCTAGGCTCTAGGGAATCAGTTCATAATCCATAGTGAGAGGCCTAGATAGGACCAAGCTGCTGGAAATGATCATGAGAGTATCAGGTAAGACAGGATTCCCCATTTTCAGTACATGTCAAGTGTAGCAAGGAGTAGTAGGACCTTCTGAAACCATAGCCTGGTGCTAGATGCCAAGTAGTTGCTACAAGGAAGTTGTAGTCAAGTGCTAGGATCAATATTAGCCATCAACAAAAAACCTGCTCTGAGAATTCAAAATGGACTCAGTCTCTCTAGCATATTATTCCGATTCCAGCTAGATTACCTTGATGCCCCCATACCCTAAACACAGCTTGGCGATGCTTGCTTTCTTGGGATTCTGTGGCAGGCTGGGTACATTCCTATCCTTCTGCTTTGGGTCATCCTTATTCAATGTTCTTCCTATACCCACTCAAATACATAAACTGAGCTCTTTGCGCACAGTGCACTTCCGGCACTGAACTACACAGCACCAATGAAATCGGCAAAGGCAGTTCTCTTCCAGGAGCAGTGTTTCCTCACGATGACCCCGTCCACAGCAGAGCAGGTCACAGCCACTCATGTCCATGGCAGTGCTATTGCACACTCGCCCACGTGTGCCCAACGAACCTGTCTTGCGGTTAGCAATGCAGAAGTCAGGTGAGTCAGCAGAATAGATGAGGTCCTGCCGGTCAGGGGGTTTCATGTTCCAACCCACAGGGATGAGTGTTTTGCCATCGTTGCCACCCATCACTTTAAAAGCCCCATTAAAACGTTCAAGCAGGCGGTCACCCACTTCCCGAAAAGGAGGCATCTTCTTCCAACAGGTGCGCAAGGCACAGGAACCTGAAAGGCCATGACACTTGCACTCTGTCCGCATGTGGTTCTTCACTGCCTGGAAAGGGGAGGGGGAAGAGAGCCACAATAAGTAGGAAGAAAGGGGCAATTGCAAGATTAGTAAGATCAGAGTTAAGTCTCCTAGCTGATTATTTTAAATAAGAAGTGAGAACAGGCAGAGAGACAGAAAGTTTCTTCTAAGGTTAGATGGGTGCATTCTTTTCCTAAAACAGATATTGTATCTCTACCTATTGACAAAACAACAGCTTTAAAATATGTGGCAGCTAGTGCTCTAAATGTGGATATCCCACAGACAACTTAGCAGGTCAACTTCAATACCCAAAGCAATTTTATATGGGTTCTAGAAAATTTTAGTTGCGCTTTGAATTTGTTTAATGTTCAGTTTTATTTGCAAAAAATACAGTACATTAGAGCAGTTGCTATTTCATATAAGCCTGACTGTATCGCTATCTAAGCTGTGTTTTATAAAGGCTGTTTCTTGAGATCTTACAAGAAACACAATTGTTTTCCTGGCTTCTGAGCTGACAAACTTCATATCCTTAAGCTCAATATTGGAAGTATATCAGTGATGCCAGTCAGCTCAACTGTGAAAATCAGAAAAAGTCCACAGAATACTTTTTCAAGAATATAATGGTCCCTGAAAATAATAAACTGGCATTTCCTGGCTTACATTTTCTAAAAAAAAAAGAAAAGAAAAATGAGAATTAAGGTATGTTATAGCATCATGCTTCTGAAATCTAGATAATAATAAAAGAAATTGTATTTTAGAAGAATCAGTCATCATCTGATGCAGACTAATTTTGGACTGAATACACTATCCAAACAGGTCTTAAATATGGGAGCAGTTATTTTAACAGTCCAATATTCCTATCATCACATCAGAGTCTGTTGTGATAAGATTTTGCCAAAATCCATCTAGAGATCTTGTTCAGGATGGGATTTGATCCAAATTCTTAAATCACACTTTTGAGCTTTAGCTATTATGTTCCAGAAGCTTCCCGTAATGCTTTATATTTGTTCCTGTACTTTCTTCTCCCTCTGCATTCACTCACTCACTTGCAATCTTTATCCATTTTTGAAACACAAGTGATAGTTCTGTAGCAAACAATAGAGTTTTCTTACTCTGTCAGGAAATATGTTTTCATTGGTGATCTAAGGCTGCTCTGCTCATTTATAAAACAGTATTTAAAAACAAAATACACACAAATATGCATAAAATTAGCTATTAAATTATGTAGAGGATCAGAAACCCAGCAGTGTAAAGGAACATTAGGTTAAGAGGTCTAGAACATATAAAATTGTCTACATATAAGACAAGATGGAACAGAAGAGAGAAGGACCTCTAAAAAATACAGGACCAGACAAATAAGTACATCTTGGTTTATGCACAGAGAAGGAGGCAGAGCTGCCCATCAGCAGAGGTTTCCACATAAAATAGGATGAAGAAGCAATATGACTCTTACCAATCTCCCTGCTTCATTGTTGTGCAGGTCAATAAGAGTTCGAATGTCACTTTTGCCACGCTTGCGCTTAGCATCCATGAACTGCCGGGATTTCTCATAGCCAAAGTCAACATCATCCCCACAGCCACCCCATTCCCAAGCAGAGCTCTCTGATCCCATGATGGCAGGTGGCAGAGGAGGTGCCCTGCTCCGAATTGCCTCGCAGCCACACTGCAGCAGATCACCCATGCTGCAGGCCTGGGTGACAGCATGGCTAACACCAGCTGCTGTGATGGCATAGACAAAGGCTGTCTCCCGGATATCTGTTTTGTAAATTGAGAAAGGGAAAAAGAGATGGAAAACACATTAGGCAAAGTCGTCTTTTAAAATAACCTTAATGTCCAAGCAAAGCAAGAGGTACTGGCCGGCCATGTCATGATAGGCAACAATTCAACCACTGAAGGCTTCTGATACAGTATTATATGTAGTTGCTTTATTCGTTACCAACACAATGGCAACGGGGGTGGGATTCCAAGATGCAATAGCCCCCTTCCCGTCTCAGCAATCTGGATTTTTATTTACGAGGGGCGCCAGTCGCCCCTCCGCCGCGGGACATGAGTTCCAGGCATCCCTCGCCATGCTGGAACCTGCCACAGCCACGGGGGGGGGGGGATTTCTCCTTTGCTCTGCTCTATTCCAGCATGAGGCGCCGCACCGCCAAGGGCTCCGTCTCCTCTCTCCCCCTACCCCGCCGCCGCCGCCTCACCACCTCTATTTCCCAGTAAGGGGCTGCTTGCACCAGGGACTGCAAATAGCGGGGAATTTTTTTCCCCTGTGTGGGGGTGCAGCGGCGTCTCTTTCCTATGGAGCTCCCCGTCCACATCTCTGCAGCTGTCCAATGGGTTCCCGTCCTTTCCGTCCCGCCAGAACGGGCGCCATTTTCTCCTCGGGTATTTCCACTGCCTTCCTCGTCCATAGCTTCAAGCACCCGTTCTGAGCGCCTGGAAGCGCCCGTACCCAGCACCGTGGCTTTCTGTCTCTTGTTCCTGCCTTTTCCTGGGCTCGGCCCCGCTGCTAATTAGTGAACTGACGAACCAAAGTGAGCATTTGCCACTCTACCTGCACCTGTTCGTCACAGCAGCGTTTGCAGGGCAGATATTATATTCTGCCCTATTCTGGTTGCTGCTAACTTTATCCCGTTAGGGAACACACCTTCAGCTCAACGTTGTGTTTGGGTAGATGTTTCCTATCACTCTGGCTTCCTCCAGGGTTAGCATCTTTGGTTTTATGCGTGTTAAAATGCCTCGGATCAAGGAGCAGTTGCCGGCAGAAGGACAAATGAAGGGGAGGCTTTCTTTGGCCTTAGTGAGGGGAGGAGGGGGCACTGTGAAGGTGGTGGAGAGGCTCCCTGGCCATATTTATGGCCCAGCTCTGCTCTCTCAGTTGCTGGGAAGTCTGAGGACGCTCTACGGACATGTAGGAGCAGAGTCTTTGAGAAGGGGGAGGGGCAGTAAATCTCTCCCAGGCATGGATACATTCTTGGGCTTTATTAAAAGCTGCTGTGCTGTCTAAGAGCATCCATAATTGCTTCATTACAAGGACAGAGAGACATGTCACAGCAGTAAACCTTCAGCCTGTAGCAATAATCTGCTGCCTCCCTCCCCAAAGCCCCGGCAGTGCCTGTACCTCTCATGCTCTCAAATTCACTCTGGGAAAGAACACAGCGCAACCCTTAGGAGTGTGTATCTGTTGTCTCCACTCAAGAGAAAAGATGGTTATAAGCAAGGCATGGTCAAGCCAGGGTTCTTGGTGTTCCTTGGTCATCATCAGTAGCTTATCCTATTCTTGGTCTTCACTTAACAACAAAGGTTTATCCTGTGTTGAATTCCCCCTCCTCCTCACTATCAAGGGACCCCACTTAGATACTCAGATCTACAGTCTGAGCTGCATTATTTCATTAGTTTCTTTCCCTCCATAGATTTCAAGTGCTGTACATGGATCTCTGCTTTAACACATACACACACACACATAAACCTCATCTCCAATTCCCTGAGAGGTAAATAAAAAAAGGAGGCTTGCCCAAGAACACCCTAATAATTTAATGTGTGAACATTAATGATTTAATGTGTGGAACAAGGAGTTCCAATTCTAATCCGAGGATAACAATCTATTGGCCTTCAGGTTTTGATACTACAACTTTCATATATCCTAGTAATTTGACTAATAATTCAAGGTTATGAAAACTGTTCTGAACTTGTCAAAGGCACTCCTGATTTCCCCCTAAATGAGCTGTTATATTCAACCACTGTGCTAAGAAGATTTGAGCTGGACAACGCAAATATTTTTTTGCAGGAAGCAAAACGCAATGCAGAAGCCAATTCTATTATTAAAACAATACAGTGGTAACTGAGTTTTAAAAATCTTTATAAAATAATTATATAAATATTAAATGATTTATATAATTCACTTTTTATCTGCATATTAATAAACTGCATGCATGCTTGCTTTGTTTGTGTATGCTTCATACATACACATGTTGTAACAGGCATCATCTTAAAAGAGCCATTCCTTTATGTGAGCAAAGGGACACAATAATTGCGGGACTTTTAAAATTTAAAAACGTCTTTAAAAAGAGTTGTAATTAATTAAATGTTGTCAATCACACTGGACAAGGCTTACAGAATTATTTTCAAGTTAGGGAAATAAAACATCTAATACTCTGAATACACTAAAACAGATGAAAAAGATTGTGTGATATTATGTTCTGGGTATATCTTATATGGATACCTATAAGATCTAGAAGTGTTATCCTACATTGCTTATCAGTAGTGTCTAGACCTCTTTGACCCTTAGCTGTGTTTTATTTGGTTGCTTCTATTTTTATAGGTCTCAAGTGCCCCACCAGCTTTTTCTAACTATCCAATTGTTCAGCCTGCACCTGAATAAGGGAGACAGATTATTTTTTCCTGTCAGTTAATAACAGAGAAGAATCAGTTTCTAAAAAGGAAGAAGATAAAAGCTTCCACCCACACTAGAAACCATGTACAAGGTTAATGCCTTCTCTCATCTGGAAAAGAATGAATGGCAGGGGAAGAAAAATTAAAGCTTCTGCCCTTCCTAACAGTGTAGTAAATGTTTGTGTGTTTATTGGAAAGGGACACATACGTATCAAAATGCAACCTATAAACTTAACATACCAAACAGCCTTCAGACTGCCTAAGCCTACATGCTACTTCTCAACTAGGAGTAATGCTTTCTAGATTAATTTAAATGCTTTCTGGGTTCACAATTAAACTAGACCTACATTTTTGGCCTCAGTTTAAGCCTTATGAAGCCTGTAGCCACAGTCCCTGTACCTGAAGGCCTAAGTGTTTTAATTGAATGATTTAAATAATACAAGAAAAATTGTCATTCTGGATGCAGGTTAGTATGGAGGCCCAAGCATTTTGTATTTCTGCTGATTCTCAAATCCAATACTTAAGATAAAATGGATTCATAGATAGGTCAATTAGAATTGCTACATTGCCTCCTTGTCTATTAGTGGTACTGGGAGAGGAGACCAACAGGGAATTTCAGGGCTGTAGACTAGATTGGGAAACTGAACAAAAAATAACCTGGAATAAGGCAATGGCAGGAAAACTAGATACTCTACTATAAACACAAAAAGAGTTTTTTCACCTTTACCTATGTGTCTTAATTAAATGAGCACTTGTTCATTGGCTCCATTTCAGACAAATAACCTTTTTTTAAATCATCTGAGGGTATGGTAGAGTGTGGGATGATATTGTGCTCTTAATTTTCAAATGGGTTTTTTTTATGCACCAAAACCAGGCATAATTTCACACAGACACAAAGAAGCTTCATGCCTAATTAAGATCCTCGATGCAAGTGAAAATACATAAAACAACAGAACTGTAAAGCAATGGAAGGGCCAGCATTGGGCATGGCTGAAGATGTATTTATATGGCATGGACTGGAGATACAAGGAACAGGTGGATCTGGAAGTGAAGGCCCAGCAGGACACAAAGGGAGATCTGCTGAGCAGACTGGCTAGGGGATATTATTGCAACTTTGGGTTTACAAATTAGACATCGGAGAGGATAGCTTGACAAAAGTGCTCAGGAAAGAATATTTTTTCTTATTTCTGTTCTCCCTCCCCTGAGCTAAAAGTACTGAAACAGCTGTGTGAGTCAAGGAATGAATTAGATTTTAAAAAACTGCTTTAAAAAGGGCTCCTTTTGGAAATGTAAATGCAGTTTGTTAAGCTAAGGCCACTGTATTGGAAGAAGTACACAAAATAATAAACATCACTATAATTTAGAGAAAAACAGTGCTTGTTATGACTGGAAAGTTCCTGTTTCCCACCCTCCAACAGAAGCACTAAATCAATCCCAAACCCTAGAGCTATCTGAATAGCTCAGCTCAAAGCATGCAGCAAGGATTCAGTGAACAAGTGTGTTCATCCCACCTACTGCCCAATTTAATTTCAAAGCAAGCAGAGAAGAGTTGCAAATTTATACTGTTCCCTTTGCCCCTCACTTCCAAATGAATGAATCACCTCCATGTACTGTAAGAGCTTCTGTCCCAGTGGCAATATTGGTCACCTCTGAAATATAGGCTATATCCTCTCTTTTCTTCTCTCTTTAATTGTGAGGACTACTTGGCTGAATTTCTTTTATGAACAAAATAAATGCTACCCCCCCTTTTTTTTTTACTCTGGAAGAATCCCAAAGGGCAGTAATCTACCCAAGCGACAAAGCCTGCCCCACTCACCTTGTTGTAGGATCTTCCCAAAATATTTGCTGTGGCTGGTGCAGTTCCAACGACGAAAACGGAATTGGTACTGGCACTCACGCACACCCAGTCTGGCTCCTTTGGCGACTTCTTGTACAATCTCAGGTTCTGTCTGGCACAACTCGGCCTGTTTCCCTGCCAGCCGCTTGGTCTTCCGACAGATGCTGTTGGGATCCATGACCAATGGGCTGCCCACTGCCCTGGAAAGATTGGAGAAAAGACACTCTAGTTGCATCGAAATTAGTAGGCTTAAAGCTTTTTAATCTGTAACTCTTTAGGGCTCTCATAGAAATTAATCACGAAATTAATCAGTGAACCTATGCCAGGATATTCCCAAAGGTGATAAAAATTCCTGATGTATGTCCCAGGACTTTTTAGTTTAATATTCTCTCTGACCAGAGCCAGTTCTAGGTAGTTTAGCATCCTAGGGCAAATTCATATTCTGCCCTCCTCAACTGGCTCTTCTTCCAATTTTTTTAGGAATTTCAAAAATGTACACTTTTTTTTCTTTGAGCTTTTAAGCATTATACTTATGAATTTTAGGCCGGGACATTTTTTTTCTTTTTTCAGAATTTTCACCTCATTTACAATGAAATATTGTAATTTTTTTTTACAAATTACCTGTGGGACCATCTTTTTCCAAGACTTTCTACCCATCCAATCTCATCCAACAGATTGGACATGCTGCAAATCTCATCAACCAAAGAAATCACTGGTGGGAATTAGAAGACAGACTTTTTCTGTTGTAGCCCCTGCCTTATGGAGTAACCTCCCCTCAGAGATCAGAATGGCCCAACTCTGTTGGCTTTTCACAAAGCTTTAAAAACTTGGCTATATACCTGCCCTGGGGTTGGAGTGTGTTAAGGGCCCTGTTACTTGGCTTTACAATTAGATAATTAATCATCACAACTGATGTTTGTACTTATGTATTTTGTGGTTGCTTTCACTGTTTTAATGTTTTTAAAATTGTTTTAATTGTATTATAATTCTATAGCCACCCAGAGTCACTTGATTGAGTAAGGTGGCAGGTGCACTGGCTCACAAAGTGATCTGTTATTGCTTTTCACTTTTTATTGTGTTTTTCTTTTACAAGTCTTGGCAATTTTGGTTCACCTCCTAAAATTTGGCACCCTAGGCTGGTGCCTTCTAAGCCTTAGCCCAGAGCCAGATCTGTCATCAACCTTTTCCAGGCTGCTACCGCCTGCATCTGACGCCGGGGGATGCTTACATAGCCCTCTGGTGGCCTGTTTCCAGGCGGCAGCAGCCTGGAAAAGGACTCTAGAACCCGGATCGGGCTGCAAGGGGCGCACAGAAGCACTTGCTGGCCTCAGATCCAGGTGGTAGTTGCCTGGAAAATGCCTCCAGACCCTGGATCGGGCCGCGAGAGGGCTGCAGGAGTGTCCCCAGCCTCAGATCAGGGCGGCAGCAGGAACCGTGGCAGAGAGGAGTTGGATCTTTTCAAGGTGAGTCCGGCGTGGCAGGAAGGGAGGGGGAAGCATGAGGTATCTTAGTGGGTCAGGGAGGCCTTAGGGCCCTCAGGGTGGGCCTTCCCCACCCTGAGATACCTCAGGTTCACTTAACGAGCCACATGTGTTTTAACGAGCAAGGGTCTGATCTCCTTTGAGATTCACTCTATGAGTTTTTGAATTACAAGTGGAATGGGCAGGCTCCATTACACTCGTAACTCGAGGATTACCTGTAAGTGTAAGAATAAGATCACATCACTTCTCATTGCCCACACTTGCTAGAGTTGACATTATTGTGACATCTAAAGGACCACAGTTTTTCCATCCTGCATTAACCAACCCTCCTCCCCCAAGTTAGGGTTCAGGTGGGCCTATTTCCTACTCAGCTAGCCAAATAGTATATAGTATAATATCAATTGCCCAATATATACTAACTACTACTGTTGCTGCAGCTAGTGTTATAATGTAAGAGAGCATTAACCCAACCCCTTGCTATCTGAAGTATATAATCCAATTTCATTCATTTCATTATTATTCATTATTATTTTCCATGTAAGACTGGTACACCTCCTAAAATAAGGGCATAAGCACTTCCTTAAATTCAATATATTCTAGGGTTATTCTAATTCTATTGTATGACCAGAGCAGGAAAACAAGTTACTTTTTGAAAGAATGTCTAACCTTGAAAAAATGATAAAGGTTTATAAACAAACTCTAGTGTTGTGCCAGCTTTTCTCCCTAGCTTCTAGATTACTCTCAGTACAGGAGTTTTCCTTAACTATTTTCTTTTAAAAAGCTCACAAAAACAGTTGAAGGCTATAGCATCTCACATAAAGATCAAGACTGAAAATTATAAAGCTATTTTATACTGCATAATGTGTACTCTTCCCTGCCCATGCCATTGAACACAAGATTGCATGCAAAATCCAGAGAAGCCCTAAAAAGAAATAAAATCCACCTTCCTCCCTCCATTGCAAAAAGGAGGAGGAAAAAAAAACTTGAAAGCATGCCAGGTGTATCTGTTAAATTTCAAATGCAAGGGTCTTTTTTAAACTAACACTTCCTATGCTCAATGAAAGAAAGAGGGAGACGAATAAACTCTGCATATTTTCATATCCATGGCAAGCTTTTCATCCCCTTCAGTTCCGCTTCCATTATATTTATTGTCTATCCGTGGCCCCAGAAACTGTCATTTTGCCATCCCAATAGCTATCAATATGCTTTGTGTTTTGTAAACCAACATACAGTATTTTAATAATGATTGGATTCATTATCCAAATCCCCAAAAAAATTGTTAAGATTTTGGCGTAGAATGTTGTGTGAGCTATAATGTTTTTAAGAGCTAGCATGTTGTGCAAATCCAGCCAATTATAACTGATTCAATAAACCTACTTAGGCTGGCTGTTGCTATCTATAGTGAGTGAACACAAACAGAGGTATGGATTGTGAATTGATGCAATCAATATCTGTGGATAAAAACATATTTTCAAGATAAACTGTTTATGCCTATTCTCCAGTGAAATAATGTGATATTCAGTATTATACGTCAATATATTTTTACAAAGGGCCATCTAGTTTTACAAGGACTCTCACAAGATGGTAGCTTTGAAAATAACAATGGCCACGGTCAGTTTGGATGTTCTCACTTTGATCCCTATTACATTGATTGACAGGATACAGATTAGCTCTTACTGCTTGACGATGAAGCCTACAGTCTGGGAGTCCATCACTCCCCAGGAAGTTTTGAAAAAAATCCAAATTAATCAAATAGATCACTAGAGAGTCAGAGCCAGGAAATTCTAGCAACTCAAAAGATTAAATCTCCCAATGCAGTTAACACAGAGAGGGAATGGATGAGCTCTGAATTAGAAAATCTACGTGCATCCAGGGATATGTCTGCACCTGTGTGCTTCTCTCTGCCCAAACAAATAATTTCTACATAGGCTATCTGTGGGTCATCTTTTATGATCTAGGTATGAACTCCTTCTTGTCTGCTTCTGCCTGGCAATAGATGTATTTTAAGGCAATCCTTCATGAGTAGATTGTGGCACAAAACATGCCACACTTAAGAATACAAGACTTCTCTTGACTAGATCAAAGCTCCCTCTTATCTAATTTCCTGTTTCTTACCAGAGGCCACAGCAGAAGATACTCATAGGCATAGTAAGGGTTGTAAAGGATATACAACTAAAACCAAACAAAGTAGAACTACATTAATCAGTTCTATGTCACTTCAAACCTACTAGACGTGTCTCACTTCAAGTCTTATAAGGTTGCTATTGCCTGTAATACAGAAGTTGAATGTACTGTATTTTCTATTCAAAACCATTTAGATGGTTAATTATATGGGCTCTGGTAGTTTAAAACTGAATTATATACATTTCTACATAAAAATATAGAATATATTAGAAAATATATAGAAAAATGTTGACTACGTGTATAGGGTTTTTTTTTAAAACTAAAAAACTGCAAGAAAGAATGTATAGTTCAGTAGTAGTATACCAGTTTTGCATGCAGAAGATCAACCAAGGCTGCGTGCATTTGCTGCATTGTAAGGGTTTACTTAAAGGGTGGTGGATGTTTTTTTTTAAAAAAAATGAGATTAGAAAAGGTTGCTGTCAGAAATCTCAGAAAGGCATTGAATAAACCAATGGTCTAATTTGCAACTACATTATTTCCTACATGCAGATTGAAAAAGGATTGAATTTAGTGTGTGTGATCATGCAAACAGTTATAGCATCATCTCATATTTCTATTGCAACACTTGTTTAATTGCTATTGCTTGTACATCATAAAACCCGGAATGCAAGTGGATGAAGCATGGAAGTGCAAAAGGATCAAAGATAACAATGAGAATGATCTGATTACCGTATTGATATTAGATATCCAATACAGTCTTCCCTAACCTGGTTCCCTTAAAAAACTTTTGGGATGACATAGCTAAGAATTCTCAATAATTCTCTCAGCATGACTGTCACAGTGCATCTAAATAAGATCAATTTGGGGAAGCTGATTGAAGCTCTTGAAAGTTCAGCAGGAATATTCAGCATTAAGTTAATATTAACCTAACATTAATAATAATGTTAAATATTAACATTAAGTTAATATTAGAGCTGTGGTGGTGCAGTGGTTAGAATGCAGTATTGCAGGCTAATTCTGCCAACCACCAGCAGTTCGATTCTCACCAACTCAAGGTTAACTCAACCTTCCATCCTTCCAAGAAGGGTAAAATGAGGACCCAGAATGTTGGACTCTATAAACCACTTGGAAAGGGCTGTAAAGCACTGTGAAGCTGTATATAAGTCTAAGTGCTATTGCTATTGCTATATTAAATTATACTGAATGTAACTCCTATGCTGATGACAGAATATAGAATATAATAGCAACAGAGAAACATGGCCAAGTGGCACTAGGAAGATAAATATATGGTAGTCAGATTTCAAGAAGAACGCTGTTGTGTAGGTTCATCTGTGGACATGGAGGTGCTCTGCAGTCCCACCCTAGAAGTGCAGTGTCTAGCACAATGGGGACTCTGAATGTCCATTTTTGTAATAACTGCAGGTGTTACTTTGTGATGCCACTCTTCATTTTCTATGAATATTTTGTGGCACCTCTCTTCAAAGCCAATGGAGGCTTGATAGCACAGGGCTGACCAGCAGGTTCTGTCAGCAGCTGTAGTTTCTAGTTCCCTTATCTAGAAGTCAGTTTCTTTCACAGCATCTTTGTAGCATTTG